ACCTGCCGCTTCCGCTGACCCCGCCTCCCCACCCACTCCCTCTCCTCCCTCCCTCCGGAGTTTACTCTTGCGAGCCATACTGCTCCCGCCGCCCGCCGAAACCCTGAGCGGGAGCGAAAGACCTGAAGCCCAGCTAAGAATCCGCGTGCTAACAGCGCACTGGCAACGCCTCCCTTCTGCCTTAGCGACAGGCTCTGGCCGCCCGCAAACTTCACTTCCCAGGCTCCTTTGCGCCAAAATCACAAGCAGAACACAGGGCCACGGCGCAGTGCACGCCGGCCATTGTAGTCCAGCATCTGGGAGCCCTCGCCGGTCTTCTCGCTCTCTCCGCGAGGTACTCCGGGTGGACTTAGACTGTGTGCTGTCTGCTTCGCCCTGGCCAACCCCACAGCTTTAACTTCCTGAGGTTCCGAGGTAGAAGAGCTTTGAAAGACGCAAGCGTTGTCGGCCCCCTGCAGGTTCAGGGTTCGCTTTATGTTTTAAGTGCTGGAAACTTCCAGTTCTGTCACCTCGCCTCTCCCTTAGGCAACAGCGGGTCAGTCATTTGGCTGCATCTGAGGTAACTGCCTGACATTTAGGGAACGAACCCACAGTCTATTCAGTTTCCCAGGCGAAGAGATCTCGGAAAGTGAGAAATTTTTCAAGACTTAGGGAAAAGATGAGCTTTTCATAGAAAAAAAAATTATGGGGACTTGGGTGTAGCTGGCTGAAAACTTCAGAAGGGAAATTTTTTATGCTGCACGAAATGTGGTCTTGGAGGACAGAGGCCTACTGAGACTTCTGTACCTCCCCATCTCCCGTAGTCGCATCCTATTACAGTGCTCGGCAATTTAGCACTTTTCAGTTGTTAGGAAATGAAGTCTATGTTGTGCCAGAGAAAATAACGAGGTGTGGTGTGATCTTTTGGTTGAATACAGTCTTCAGTTGCACTTTTATATCTTAGCAATTGTGCATTTACTGTTATTTCTGTAAATTGCGAAGGGCCATGCTGAAGCTAACCCACTCAAAGTTTGCTGAGAAGTACTGTGTAGCACTGGGGATTTATGCACAAGTCTGAGGGAAATATGTTCTAATTTTTCTCGAAAACTCACAAATTCTGAATTATATACCACTGTCCCTGTGTTATGACTTGTCCTTATCTGTCTTCTTTCATAATGTCCCTCGAGAAAATATTTCTTTGTGTATCATTACCTCAGTAGTGAAGATACATTACATCTTCATAAAGGTTTTTTTTTTGTTTTGCATCTTGTAACCATTTTTCTAGACTGTTTACAATTGAAGGCATATTAAAATCACTTACTAAAAGTGCTTTTGAAATCATCAGTGCCTAATTAGTTACCAATTTGACTCAGAATTGCTTTTGTAGCATCAGTTTTATAATAATCTACATTAGTCAGGATGGAACAGATTATGGTGCATTAGCAAAAATCCAAAAATCTTAGTGCCTTTAAAATAAAAAAGTTCGTTTTCTGCTTGTCTACATGCTCGTGTTTTGAAGTGAGGGGGCTTTCTTCTAGCAACTGGGTACTAAGGGAGATGCCAGTGGCTGAACCTTTCCTTGTGGTTTGGTAGGCAGAAGGAAGGCGAGGGATGGTAAACTGGTTCTTCCTAAAGTGATATAAGTCAGTTTTACTCATATTTCATTGAACAAAGCAAATCATACAGTTATGTCTATCTTCACAGGAGCAGAGGATGTGTAATCCTACTATTTGCCCAGAAGAAAAATAAGATTTATTGTTGAATAGCACCAAATATGGTTGAAATCCATCTTTCTAGTCATCAATTTACAGTTCACTCTGTATAATATAAAATATCGCTTCTATCCCAAGTGAGAGTCAGAAAGATCTATTTAGTAAGGCATCATACTAAAGTCTAGCATCTCTGATGCTAAGTAGTCTCTATATTAAAACTGGATAAAGCTTCTCTTGTTATAAAGATGTAAAAAGCATAGTGTCAATCCTACACACACACACACGCACACACACACACAAACACACAGTCAACATACAGTGATGAGACAGGGACAAAGTAACTACGATATCTCAGTTCATTTTGTGCTATCACACAGAATAATAGAGACTGGCTGATTTATAAAGAACAGAAATTTATTTCTCACAGATCTGGAGGCTAGAAAATCCAAAACAATTGTGCTGGCATCTTGCTAGAGACTTCTTGCTGTATCATTCCATGTGGAAAGACAGAGGGGGCAAGAGATTTAAAAAGAGCAGTACTCCACCTTTTCTAACAAACACACTCCAGAGATAACAAATCCATTCACTCCACCCTCATGGGCTAATCACCTCTTGTTAGGAACCACCTCCCAATACTATTGCCTTGTGAATAAAATTTCCAACACATACTTTTGGGAGGGGGGAGCATATTCAAAAGCAATATTATAAACACTCCTATTTAGAAAAATGGAAATGAAGAGATATACATAAAATATTTAGCAAATGTTTTTACCATAGTTAACATTGATTTCCTACTTTTCAGCCTCCAGCAAGTTTCTTGGCTGAGATTGCTAATGGTGGAAACTGCAAGATTGGCTTCATCTACTATACCTGTAAGTTATGGCTATATATATTTTAAATTTTCTGTAACTTTGTAACCTTCTGGTACCAATTTCAACGTTCGTAAGAATATTCCAGGTTAAAAAGATCAAAATCTCAGTGCGTTGAATACAAAAGTTTACTATAATATCTGTCCTCCAGGTCAGTGTGCAAGTAGGTGGGGAGAACTATTCCATGTCCATTCAAGACCAGGGCTTGTGGAGCTCAATCATCTGGAAACTTCCCATTCTCTGTGACAAGAGAAAGATGATACAGAATCACAGTCTAGTCCTTAAGGCTTCTAACAGAAGGGACACATTTAAATGGATAAAGTAAATTATAAGGCCAGGCCTAATTTCCAAAAAATGATATATTAGATATCTTTGAGTGGATAGCAAACTACCCTCAAACTCAATAGCTTAATATGCCAACTATTGAATTAGCTCATGGTACTATGGAATAATCATCTGTGCTAGGATAAATTGAACATTTCTGCAGGCCTTACTTGGGCTCACCCAGGTGTTTATGGTAACCTGCTTGTCAGCTAGGAAACTCTATTTATGAAGGTTACCGGACAGCTGGGACAACAGTTCCCAGTGTTCCTTATCCTCAAGAGGTTAGGCTTGTTCAAGTGGTAGTCACAAGAGCAAGAGATCAAGATCCTTAAGTGCTTTTCAAATGTTGAATTGGGTCATAACTGCCCAAGTCTCAATGGCTAATTGACTAAAGCAAGTCACATAAACAAACTCAAAGTCAGTATGGGGAAATAGATTCTGCCACTTCATAGGAGGATCTACAAGTTACATTGCAAATGAGTGGCCATAGACGCAATGACATAATTATTGGTCACTTTTGCAGTCCACTATATATTTGGGAAAATGCAATGTTACCATATGTCCCAAAGAAGAAGGAAAAGAAATATAAACGGGACCAATAGATAACAAATTTCTAGAATTTCTGAGAGGAAGAGAAATGAAGAACATAAATGGAGTTAACATTGGAATTTAGTTATATTTAGAAGAATAAAGAACTTTTCATGTAAACCATGACAGAGCATGCTATAATAACTTAATAAAAATATAAATAGGAATTTAGCTGATAAGTAATTTAATTCTAATCAAATGGTACTGAGCCAGGTACTTAGTTTGTGCCTACTTTTTATTTATTGATTTGACAAATGTTAGGGATATTTATAAACCCAGAGATAAAAAGAGGATCATATCCAAGTTTATTTCCTACACCAAAAATCAATTACAAAGGATTTGAATGTAACAA